CACATGTGTCCCCCACTTTCCTTCAGTTTCAGGTCTAATTCAGTCTTATTATTTCAGGCTGCCTATATTAGAAAATTCTGACTCCTGTTGACACAAACAACAGGAATATTTATTTCTCATTTAACAAGTGTCTGAAAGGAAGCATTTCCAGGTTTTCTTAAATCAGAAACTCAGTCGCCACCATGGAACCAGGATCTGGGACAGCAGCCCTGCCCACAGACTAGCTCCTCTTAGAGTGGCAAAATGGCATCCTGAAGATGTCAAGTGTCCCCTGGAGACAACCCACTTACACCAGAAGAAAAGACCACCTCTCCTGAAGTCTCTCCTTTTCAAACGGAGAGAACATTTCCTAGAGGCCCTAACAGGCTGCCATTATAACTCACTTGTTAGAAATGGGCTATGGACTTATCATGAAGTGGATCCTTCTTTGGGGCAGATGGAGCCTCCTTTTCTGTATAGCATGCACAGGAGGAGGGGCAAGGAGAATCACTGGGGAAACACAGGATTCAGTCAGGAAGGAAGTTTCAGAACAGAATGGAGTAGGTGGGCAACCAGCTATCTGTATCTAAATCCTTCCCAGACTGAAACAATAAAGTCCAACTGTGTGCTAGGTTCTAGAGTTTCCCTGTGCCTATCCACTCCATAGACTTCCTTAAACAATTAATGTGATAAAACTTTGCAGTGTATCAATACCATGAAAAATGACTTGGGAATTTAAAGGACTCATTTACTGACATTTTCAACAATGTTGATTAATCTTAAAAGTTATGCTTACAAAACAAGGTTCACAAAAACAGGCATATATATAACATTCATATAATTTCAGCAAATGCAAATTCAGTGTACAGCGACATAAAACAAAGCAGTTTAAATATAGATTAGGGGTCACATTGGAGTAAGAGGGAGAGATATAAAAGGGCAGAATGGGGGTGATGATATGCCTATTACCTGAATTGTAGTAATGGCATCACATGTGTGGACCTAGTAAATGTTTGTGGTGGTTTGAATAAGAATGGTCCCCAAAGGCTTTATGTATCTGAATGATTAAGTCACCAGAAAGCGGCACTTTTTGAAAGAGTTCAGAGGTGTGGCCTTCTTGGAGGAAGTGTGTCACCGGGCATGGACTTTGATGTTTCAAAAGCCCATGCCAAGCCCAGTGTCTCCCTATTCTCGAGTTGCAGATAAGGATGTAGCTCTCAGCTACTGCTCCATTGCCACGCTCCCTGCCATGATGATAATGTACTAAACTTCTGAAACTGCAAGTGAGCCCCCAATTAAATTGCTTTCTTTTATAAGACTTGACGACTTGGTCATGGTGTCTGTCCACAGCAATAGAACAATGACTATGACATGTGTTTCAAAACTCTTTTCAAGTTGTAGAATTCAAATGCATACAATATTCCATTTTTACATAAAATTGAGATAAAATTGTTTGCATAAAATATGACTCATATTTTAGAAAAACCAACAAACCATCCATTAACTGTCTTCTTCTACTAAATATTGAGAAGATCAGCTATGGTTCCAAAGAAGTAAAAGCAGAAAAGCAAAGGGTCTGATCATTCAAACACTGGCTGAATAAGTAAAGACCCAATGATGAGTCATCTTTCAGTCTGTCCCAGGCTTTCTGCCTCTGCGGTGCCAACTGTGGTGTCAACAGCTCTGACAGTGACCACAGGAGATAGACATGAGGCTCACACTACTACCTCCTATGCATAGCTATTTCTATTTCTCTAGGTTTTTGTTTTTTAATACTGATGATTGAATGCAGGGCCATGTATGCATATGAGGCAGGCAATCTACCACTGAGCTATACTTCCTCCAACCTTTTATGCTTTCAGTTTTATTTTTTTTGAAAGCTTTCTTTCCTAAAGATATAGTCAATTCTATTTTAGGATTTCTAAGTAAAACATTTACTAGAGTTAGCCAATACTAAGTATTATGATTTGATTTTTAAAATGGTTTATTTTATTGTGCACATGTGAGCCTCTGTGTGGCTATGTGTACTTAAGTGCAGTGCCCAGGGGATGCCAGAAGAATGGGTTTGGTATCTTGGAGCTGAAGCTAGAGCCCGTTGTGAGCCATCCAACATGAGTACTGGGAACTGAACTTCAAACCTCTGCCCACTCTTAGCCACAGAGCAACCTCTCCAGTCTCTGGATAAAACTTCTTAAAGGAAAAAAGTAGAATTTTTAATTTTTCATGAATCCAAACACTGTCAAAATGACAAAATTCTGTATTTCAAAAGAGGAATGCATCAATTAAATCACCCACATAAACACTGTAGAGTTTAGGCATCAGTTTTGTGATGTCATAGCTCATGATTTCTGGATAAGTTTAAGACTACTTTTCAAGTGTTGAGGGAATGTGGTGGTCTGACTAGGAATGGCCCCCATAGGTTAATATATTTGAATACTTGATCATTAGGGACTGGAACTACTTGAGAAGGATTGGGAGGATGGCCTTGTTGGAGTAGGTATGGCCTACTGGAGGAAGTATATCACTGAGGGCAGGCTTTGGTGCTTCAGATGCTCAAGTCATGCCCAGCATCTCTCTTCCTGCTACCCCATGATCCGGGTGTAGAACTTTCTGCTACCTCTGCAGCACTGTGCCTGTCTGCATGCTGCTGTGCTTTCTGCCACAATGATAATGGACTAAACCTCTAAATGTAGACAAGTCTCCATTAAATGCTTTCCTTTATAAGAGTTGCCATGGTCATGATGTCTCTTCACATCAACAGAACACTAACAAAGACAGGGAGTATTCAATAGTCCCTAAATAGAGACTAAAGCATTAGATGTTGTCATACTAACTATCCCCTTGTGAACTCAGAGGAGATTAGGGAAAGCCTAAAAGCCAGCAGCCAGATCACAAGACTGGTCCTACCAAACCCCACAATTTTCCCCTAAGAAGGCTTAAGCAACATTGCCAATTAGGCCAAATTAGATGTCCGACTATTGTCTGCCACCTCGCTGTTCTAAGACATATGAAGTTTGAGGTCCCACAAAAGGTGTCCCTTCTTGCATGGTGGAAAAGATCAATTCTTTTCCTACGTCAATCTCACCTACTGAAAAGAACACTATAAATGTTTAGGTAGGAAACAGATAATTGCATTAAGTCATTGTATCAACCAGATCAATGAAGGTCAGAAAGTTCCAAGACTGATGGTTTGGAGCCTGAAGACATCCATGCCAGCACACACAAAGTCAAGAAACCACGAAGATGAAAAACTCTGGGAAACTTGCAGCAGATCTCAGAGCTAAGATTTCGTTCAGAATCTGAGTCATGTGTACAGCAGAGCCATCAGAAGGAGGTAATGAGAGCCTCCAGTGAATTTAGATCACTCAGTTCCTTCCAAGGAATCAGAAGCAAGCATAAATCTCCCTTCCCTGGGTACTTTGGGGTGACTGATGTAAACTGTGGAACTGATTGCTGGTAGAAGTCAAAGAGTTTCTGAAAAAAAAAAAAGAAAAGAAAAGGCAACAAAATGGCACAAATCTGGGGGACACCAGAGCCCCCCGAAAGCATTCTGTATATACACAAGACTCAAGAAGGGCATCTCCCCCAAGCAGATTACAGGTTCCCGCTCAGAAAAGCTATAACTACTACTAACCATTCTCTTGTGATTCATGAGATGTTGAGCAAAGCATGTATTTTGCACACTCTGAATCTCTCTCTCCACTGTGAAATCTCTGGTATTAAATGGGCTTGAGAGATTAAACTCAAAGGCCACCTGAAGTCCTATACTCATGAGGTATTTACTCAATGTGAATTTTCACATGGTAAGCACACTGAAAACATCGTCTCCAGATTTCTCGACATTTGTGAAATATTTAAGACCTCACTGCCGTGTGATGTGTCCAATGTGGGAGTCTGAAGTGACCACTGAGGCCTTTTCCAGTCATGTAATTCAGAATTCACCATATGGCCTCTCTTGTGTTGAGTGAGTGGGGTGTTCTGACGTGAGTTTTCTTTCATTTGCTGCATGGAAGGCTCTTCTCCGCTGTGAGACACGCATTTCTGTAGGGAGGCTTTCTTTTTCTCATATTTAACAATGGAAGTTTTAGAGGTAAAACTTTTACTAGGACGTTTGCATCCCTGGCAACTTCCTCCACAGTGAAGTCTGAGAAGCCCAGCGGGTATGTATTTGCAACAGAAGGGCTTCCTGTATCCACCACACTTAGAAGGCCTTGATCCCATGTCAAGTCTCAGGGGAACAAGAAGGCTGGAGGGTGTGGCCAAATGATCTCTTGTATCACACACACACAGGCTTTTCTTTGTTGTGAAACTGCTCATGCTGAACAAATCTATTTTGGGGAATGAAAATTGTTCAACATTTGTCCAGGGTAAGAGGTCTCTCACACTTAGTGCTTCTGGATGGTTTCATTATGGCAGACAAGTACAGGGCTGGCCAAGAAGTCCTTCTGGAACTCCTGTGACATGTGGAACTACATCTTTCCACAATTGAAGGCTGGCCCTTTCCCCTTCTAAAGGATGTTTTATTATTCTACAGCAAACCTAGCAACTGTCTCCTACATATTAGACATTTAATATAGTCATTGTCCAGTGGGTTCTCCTGGCTGTATAACTAACTGGTTACAAAATTTATCACTTACAATGTTACAGAGGTAGGCTTCTGGGAATAAGAATCTGTTTAAGAGTCTACCACGAGCCGGGTGGTGGTGGCACACGCCTTTAATCTCAGCACTTGGGAGGCAGAAGCAGGCGGATCTTTGTGAGTTTGAGGCCAGCCTGGTCTACAGAGCAAGATCCAAGAAAGGTGCAAAACTACACAGAGAAACCCTGTCTCAAAAACAACAACAACAACAACAACAACAAAAGAGTCTACCATGATACTGTCACAGAAACACCCGGCTCACAAGCCCATCTTCATCCTCCACACCAACATCCAGGAGAAAAAGTTAAACCTCTATCACTATCCCCTTGGCTACAAGCTTTGTTTAATCAGAAATCCCTACTGGCATCTGTCACTGGGGTACCTGGGAAGGACCTGGAAATAGGAAGCCCAAGCGAGAGGACAATCGAGAAGTTCTCCAACATCACATTATGGTACAGGAGCTTCTGAGCATCACTGAGGAGATCCCACTCCTCCTCAGTGAAATACAGGCACACATCTTCCAAGCTCACACAGCTCTGGGCTTGGTTCACGGGTGCATCCACCATGGGGGAATCTGGGGAGCGTGGCCGGTCAGCGCAGGCTTGGAGGCCTAAAACCTCACCAGGGCCTCAACCGCAGTCTGGAAAAGACAGGCAAAGATAAGGCACTGGATAACCATGGCACTAGATCTCAAGGAGACACAAGAAACATCATTGAAGGACTTCACTGAGGCTGCAACGTACACACGTAGGACCCACCTGGGAGGTAGACTGAGTCAGATCACGCCCACCTGGGAGGTAGACTGAGTCAGGTAAAGCCCAGACCCTGTAGACACCACCCACTGAACAATTTCGGGCCACACTTTCGGGATCCTACCAAAGTCCTCACGTTAACGGACATTCTGTCATGACGCTGCCGGAAATCCCGCCCCATCCCTGCCTTAGTGCATCTTAAACCCAGGAGCAACAGGAAGTCTTTTGCACTGCAGAGGCTTTATTTAGTCCGGAAGGATGATTGGAGCAGTTGCAAAGCCCAGAGGTCGCAGGTTCATTCCGGTCCAATCAGATATCTCCATTCAGAACCATTGTCCGGCTTCGTGTTTAACCTTGGTTGAACTGCCGCCTTCATTTTAATTGTTGATTACCTGAGATGGTTGGTATGCATTATCATACCTTCTGCAAGTAATATTTCATATGTTGCAAATATCACAAGCTATCTACTATTTTCTTTAACCCTCATTTAATTGCAGTGGCTGAAACAGTATCCTTTAGGATAATGTTCATTAATATGGAGAATCTGAGGGGTTTTCTGTTCCTATTTCTTACTCTCATTGATTGTATAGGTAAGTTAATGGGACTAAGTGTGGTATTTCCTCACATACAGGGGCATTTAAAAATTCCTGCATGATTCTAGAACTTTGTACATATCTATACTCTAGGTATTTGTTATGCTTATGAAAATTAAATTTGGGAAGATTTATTACTTCTAAGCAAGGTCTCACTCTGTAGCCCAAGTTAGCTTCTCATGGCCATCCTTCTGCCTCAGCCTCCTAAGTGCAGATTAATGGTGTGAGACAATCCTACCAGGCTGGGAAGACTTTTTGAAATGATAATTAGTTGCCTGATACTATTAAACAGTAAGTTGACGTCAGTTCAGCTGATTATATTTTTCTCATTTTAGACGTTATTTTCATCAAATGTGTAGAAGAATGGGTTCCATTGGCATTTTCATCCATGTGTATGTTATGATGTACTCTGAACATATACCTCCCTTACCATCTTTTGTCCCTGCCTTAGTCAGCGTTCTGTTGCTGTGAAGTGACACCATGACCACAGCAAGTCTTATAAAGGAAAGCATCTCACTGAGCTTGCTTACAGGTTCAGACGTTTAGTTCATTGTCATCACAGCAGGGATCGCGGAAGCATGCAGGCAGACACAGTGCTGGAGAAGTAGCTGAGAGTTCTACATGCAGGTGCACAGGCAGCAGGAAGAGAGAGACAATGGGCCTGGCTTGACTTTGGAAACCCAAAGCCCACCCGCAATGACACACCTCCTCCAACAA